CCCCAAAACCCCAAAACCCCAAAACCCCAAAACCCCTGAAAATAAATCAGAAATAAAATAAAGATGAAAGGCAGCTATGATCCTATCCCGGACACCTGGTTTGAAATGGAGAACAGGTAAGCACTGATCTCGCATTTCTGTATGCTTGTTCTTTACCCAGACTTCTCTTAGTCCTAATTTATAACCAAAATTAGATCAGAGTTGTGAAGTCCCCATCGACTTCACGGAATATGATAATTTAGTGAAAGTTAACCGTTTTCTAAAAATTTAGAGCACTGGCTTTCTTTAGGATGCATTTTAAACAATTTTAAGTTGATAAAATGGCATATAAAATGCAAAATCGTGTTTAAAGCATTTCTGTATAGAATAAGAGATATTTTGGGTGAACTTATGAGGCCAATTAGTAGCCAAATGGGAGAAATCCTGGAAACATGCACAGAATTTGAAGAAGAACATGTCGAACACAAGAAAAATTTCGAGAGGCATGGTGATATGATCAAGAAATTAAAGCACCAGTGAGATGAAATACCTTCTATCCAGAATTCAATTGTAGAGCTTAATACCAGACTAACGGAGAAACAATTTGCTTTGACTAAAAAGACAGACCATATATTAAATGAAATAACTGCGTAAGTGTGACTTCTGGGTAGCCTTCTTGCTTCCACATATTAGTGTAAATTTATTGTAAAATCTTACAAAATCTCAGAGTAGTCTTAAATTATGCTTAAATCTAGGAACGAGGAAAGAACAAGGCTCATCAAGGAAGATACAAAGGCATTGACTGATCTCAACGATGCTTTAAGAGCAGACATAAAGCAATGCCGAAAAATGACAGGGTCTTACCATGATTCCTGAATTACTAAGATCAATCAAGCGAGTGCCAAATTTAATGATGATGTAAACCTTAGACCTTTAACTTCGTAGTACATTGATATAATTGAGAGGTTTAACAAACTTAAAGCCAATGAAGAGCATTACAGTAATATTATTTCATACCAAAGAGACAAGGTCAATGAAATCTCTGCAGGTTTGCTCCTTGCTCATTTCTAGAACTGGAATTATGCAAGAGAAATATCAAAAGCTTGAATGTCAACCTTGAGGCATCTATTGAAAACACAGCAGCTAAGGCAGACTACATTCAAGAGAAAAAGACAACCAGGCACGAACTGATGATGAATAGAGAAAGGACTTTTCAACTGGAAACCGAGCTGAAGAAGATCAATGAGCTTAGTAGTTTCGTTCAGAAAGAGGTCCCAAACAAGGTGAATTACATGATTGCAGAGATTCTTGATTACGTGCTCCTGAAAAGAGGGGATAGAGAAAGAATCAGGAAATACATTAAGTGTAAGCATGCCTCTGAGAGCTTTAGATAAAAGCCAGAATTGGCCTGATATTGAGAAAATGAAACTCCAAGTAATGGAGTCTACAACAAACAGAAGACAGTCAGTTGTCGATAGCTCTCCCTCAGAATTTATTGAAAAAGCCCAGAGATTCAACTCCGAACGCTCTGAGAACGATCAAAGTATAGCTTCAGATTCCCCATATGAACATCAGAAATCTCTCAATTTTGCTGACAATAAGCTGCAGAGTCTAAAATCAAATGAGCTGAACAATTCCCTGCCTGAGCAACAGCTAGTGCCTAGTTCTAAGAAGAGGACATTTCCAGTGACCCAGATGCTTAAAAATAAGCCAGAAAGGAGAAGTAAAAGACTATGGTCAAAGGATGAAAATGATAGCTTGAGTGATGATGAAAAGCTCTCAAAAATGAGTTCCAATACTAAAAACTCGGTGAGAACTCCAAACTCAAATTCACATGTTGTTTCTTCTTTTGAAAAACAGAGTCCAGTTTCTTCAAGTTTTAACAAAACAGCTTCTCCTAGCATTAACCTTCCACTCAAAGGACTCAACAAAGTGATTGAAGAGGATGATGAGGATAGGATAGGTATTTCCTTCTCAAATAATATAGACTCTCCTGATGAGAAAAAGCGTGTACCTCCTCATCTAAACCCCGAAGGATCACAGATAATCCAAGTTGAAAGACTTCCTGCTAAAAATCGGGACAATATCGGTAAATCTCTCTTCTAACTCTGTAGAATCCTCTAGTGAAGACTTTGAGAAGTCAGGCTCTTCAGGGTCAACCCCTCGAATATTTCACTCTAACCAGAAGATCAAGCTTTCGAGAGCGGATACGATCCAGAGTCCTAAGAAGGAGGCTGGCAAGCCTCCTAGGAATCGGCAGGCTACACTGTAAGTCCTTAAGAATTCATACAATTTATTTGCTGGTTTATGCATCCTGTTTTAGGCCTCTGACTTTAGTAGAAGAAGGAGATACTGATAGTGAAAATACAGTTAATGTCCAAGCAACTATAAAGACAGTTACAGAGGTTGTTGACCAAAAGCTACAAGCTCAAAGCCAACTTCTCACTAACACAATCGCCACAAAATTTGAAGAAGAAGGAACTAAACTTGACAATAAAGTAAGCAAAGAAGATGACGCTATAGGTTGACAAAATCAGGTAAGATCCTAATCCAGGCTCCCAACAGAGTAAAGAGGTTCAACTCTGAAATCCTCAGTGTAGTTCCACAATCAGCCTCATGAAAATGGATGAAATTTGGAGTGCTAGAATACTCTTTTTATACCTATACTATTGATCTAGAGCAGAAGAGACCTCTAAGTATTTATGAGTAGTTTTCTTCCCAAGAATATTTGTCTACAAAGACCATACTATTTTTAAATCATTAATGTCTTGAAAATATATCAGGTTCTGCTTCTTTAAGACAGAGCGAGCTTAACTTCTACATCATAAAATTGTTGGCTTTAGTATTGTTATTCTTATGCATTTGCGTAATATATTTAGAACATTCTGAAAAGATTCATGAAAGACAATTGAGCAAAAAGCTACCAAATCCCACTCAAAATTCGAACAAAAAGTAGAAGTAATCCACTTTCCCAAAAAATTTCCAAAAACCATTAAATCCTTCCTTAACCCCCTTTTAACCCTTCTTTTCAGTCCTTCTTCACAAAATGCAAAGCTCTGGTCGAAGAGCGTACTTTACAAATCGAAGGTATTTTCAACTCTATTCAAGAAGAGACTAAGCGTAGGAAGAGAGATACGTACAAAATTTAGAAATTTTGTACTGGTGGGATTTTGTGGGGTTTTGGGGTGGATAGGTAAGGTGAGGTGATTATGTAGGCCTGTATTCTGTCATTCCTGTAGGCTTCCACTGGAGAAGTGGGGGAGAAGGGTAGTTCAGTGATGGCATTCCTTGTATTCTGGGAGTTCAGCCCCAGGGGAGATAGGTGTTGTAGGTATGGGGTAATATTTATTAGTCAGATTCAAATAAAAGTGATGTTGGGCAAAAGATTTTGAGAAATAGAGGGGATATTGATGAGTTGATAAAAACACACTCTGTGTTAGAAAGTTCATTAAAGAATTTGGGAGAGATTACAGCGACTATTCTTGAGCTCCTGCATATAGGGAATGTACTTGATTGTCAAGATGAAGAAGACAGGAAGTCTATTTCTCTTTGGGGATTTTAATGAATCTGGAAAGCCAAGTAAGGAATATAATAAGAGCATAAATCATGTTAGAAAAGCTAACAGTAGGGAAAGACTTAAACTCTCCTCTGTGGTAAGCACAAGGAAGGATTATAATGTTGTAACAGTGGATAAGGATTGCTATTCATGATCAAATTCAAACCAGGTAGTGCTCAAAGCTTTTAAAATGGCTTGTCTTTCCTACTATCCTTCATCAATTACTTACGAAAACAAAGTTGTATCAAGAAGTTGGCTTCATTTTAAAAGATCAGAGATTATCAAGAACATTTATTCAGATTATCATAATCTTCTTCCATGGAAATCAGGAAATTTGGAGTATGAGAAATACCTTGAAGTCCCTTCTACCGATCTTCAGTACACCACTGAAATGAACCCTTTCACTAAAGAGACAAACATGAACAGAACTCTTGAGATATCTTCGCACCTTGGGTCATTATCAAGGAGGAAGTTGACTATGAACACTAAGGTTGATAAATAACATCGAGGTGCACCTGCCTAAAGAAGATTTAAACAACAATCTAGACCAACTTAAGTTAAATGAGAAGAAAAAATTAGAGTACTGTGACTTCTAAATTATAGGAAAATCTTCACCTCTACTCATGTAGGGTTCTCACAATTGAGTAATAAGTCCTCCGAAGGGTTTAAGAACCTTAAAATGCTGGGCAAGAGGATGAAGACTCCCAATGATTTTGGAAAAAGGGGGTCATTCCATAAGAGTCATAAGTTTATTAGAGAGAAGAGGAGGAATATATCTCAGTTCAAAAATATATCTCCTCATGTCACCACTCTTGATTACACAAATAGGCTCAAAGTGTCTCGAAATCATTCTGAAGGTCCTGATCCCAACTCTGAGTATGGAGATGATTTCAAATATGTGGAAAATTTAGAGTAATTTCAATATTTTGGTACCAATTAGGGGTTTTGGGGTTTTGGGGTTTTGGGGTTTTGGGG